CAATGCTGTTTTAGTGTATTTGTTAGGTAAGACATTCTTGAATGCCCTGCGCATGTATACCGGTGTAATCGGTCATAAAGCTTTTAGTCTATCCTGGATACCAGTCCCGTCAGCCTAGGGAGCAATATGCCACGCTCACAGAGCATTAGTTGACACACAACCTCTTATCATCTCTAGCGATGGCGAACTCGGGGTAGAGTCCCAACTCTGAGAGCTGACACATGCTTCTCCCCCCGCCGAAGGAGTTGGTATCGCCTCGCGCGCAACGGTTCTGATATTCAGGCTGTAGTCAGGACGTACATGTATTAGTCTCCACCAGACTTCTTTTGCGGGGTGAATAAATCGTAGAAATCGGCCTAAAAAGGGTATTAATTGGCCAGAGAAGGTAGCCGGCCAGAGAATCTCCAGCTTGGCGGGGAGCTGGAGCTTCTCTGGCCGATTTCTACGATTTATTCACCCCGCAAAAGAAGTCTGGTGGAGACTATACACAAGTATGCATATCAGAAAGTGTGCGTTCTGTACACCGTTCGTTCTGTCAGATATCTTAAACCTTTGCAACGTAACNGAATTATTCTCATAAGCAATGGGTACCTCGTCGTTGGTTTCCAACTGACTGATGAGACTGATGAGACTGATGCAAACGTTCAAGATGGATTATACCATTACACAGACAGAAGGGAGTGTACAGAATATATCAAATCAAATCAAATTTTATTCAGTAAGGATCTCGCGGGCGAATACCCGAATTTCGTCCTTATTACAATAATATATAGAACATTAAAATCAATGATTCGTGACACTCTTCATCTACATGAAACAACATAGGCGAATACATATTAAGACGATTACATGGGCGAACATAGGCGAACACAATCTTAAGACGACTAAGACGATTACACAATTAAAATCTGCGCAGTTATCAAGAAGAATTTAGCTAGGTACAATATATATAACACTACTGCTGGATTGTCTTGTTATAGAGGCGAACAGCGCAATGAAGGAACGAGTTGTTAAGTCTCTTAGTCCGGGCTTTAGGTAGACTGATTGTGCCAGAGTTTCTGAGTGACCGTCCCGTAGCACCTGACCTAGTGGGCGGAACTAAGTCATGTAGAGGGTGGTCCTCCTGAAGCATGCGTTGAAACAGGTGTACTGCCGCATCTTCCCTTCTCGACTTCAGTGTCGGCAGGTCTGATATCCTTCAACATCACGGATCCAATGCCCTTGGAGCAACCTACTTCAGGTGTTCTCAAGCTGGCCTCATGCTAAAGATATTGACTTTCATGATTGAGCTCGAGTGACACTCGTACTTGCAACTAGAGAAGCTTGTTTGAGTATATCCAAATAACGAGGTATTTCATTACATGTATAGGGGAAAGCAATGAACACATTTCTTAACTATAGAAAACAATGGAAGAAAAGATTACCCTCCCAATAGAAATATCCTCCTTTTCGTATAATGTACGATTGTATTAAAGACATAATCAAAAGCACATGAGACATAAGAAAGCATCCCGAAAAGTTGTTAAAGAATCTCCAACAATTGTTTCTTTTTAAAGTGAACAATACAACGCATTTTGATGAGAGACAAACACCATTGACCCTTAAACACCACGTAAAACTATAACCTGGTGGCAGTTTGAATATCAAGGGTTGATGCGTTCGATATTTGATCTAGAAAGCTTCATGTATTTTGAGATGTCATAGTTCTAGCCCAAACAGTAAGATGACCTCGGCGATTAAAGATGTGAGAGTGCCCGCCAGGCACGTAACATCAGCAAAATTTCCTTAGGTTGCCCCTAATTTATGGTAATTAAAGAAATCCCCAGATCCCCAGGATTTACAGGTGACAAGGACATTGGTGTCATAGTGGATTTCTAATCGCCGTCTTATCAGCACCAAGGACAGTGCCAATCAAAGGGGGAAGACTGATGGATACAACATCTCAGGGTAATTCCCTCTTAAGCATGTGGCGCAAAACGGTTTGCAGAAACCGCTTAGAACTGCGCTACTCAAGGGGAAGGCAATTAACTGAGCTTTTTAACTCCCTTCCGTCGTTCTTATGGGTTTCAAGAGGGCAGTTGATCAGTTGCTGATGTTTACATTGTAAACTAGGTTTGAATATTGAGAGAAGACATAAAAGAAAGACTTTACCCATGCTTTTAACGCACAGACAAATGTTTTAAGAATGCTTCTTGCCAATCACTTTACATCTATTCCTTTGGGAAAGTACTAGTATACATGGTGGACGCGTAGGCAGAGGACGTTCTGTTCTTTGCTGTACGTAACTCTTGATGTCTTTAAACCGACCTCGGCAGCGGGGAGAAAACAATTTGATTGAGATCGGGAGCAATCACGCGTCCGTATTCACATGGCCGTCATGTCTGCCGCTTTCAATCACAGCAAACCATTCAAATCCCGACCAATCACACTCCCCAATCTGATCTGTCGTACATCGTTTGATATAAAACATGACTTAAATTCCGAACGTCAACACGACATGAAATATTTACCCATATCGTATATTGAATCAGACATGCTTTTCATCATTACCATCAGAAAATGTGTCATGTACAAAAGAGCCTTTTTGATTGACAATTCCAGTCCTTATACTGACATCAGGGTGTCATGTTTCACTTATAGCCAAATGAATGATACAAACCGTTCTATAACTGTACCGTATTTACCAGCACGACGCCAGTTTTGTTTGTTCAGCGTTAGATTCTTAATGCAGCAGTTTGGTACGGTGACATGAAGTAGCGAGTTGAATTATCGATCTGCCGTGTCTCTCGGGAGTTACATAAACCCTAAGTACACATACCATTAATGCAACGCACTGGACCACCGTGAGATCCCATTAAAACGTTGTGTGTTCACCAACTACAGACTTGAAGAAGACTCTATCATCCCGCACTAAAATATGACACAGCATACGAATGAAAAAATCAGTTTCAAATGTTTTACAGTTCAGATTAGAGGTGAATCTGGCCTTAGCAAGCGGTTCTACTCTACATCTGAGCAAAACTGGTGTTCAGGTCCGGTAGAAATTTGATATACACAAATTGTGGATGAGTTAGCTCTCAGTTTTTGCTGTGGTTTCACTTCAGAGAGGGGGCGTCGCGTTTGTTGGCAAATAAGGAGTTTGCTTTGAATCACTGTGTGCTCTGCTGTTACACTACCTCATTAGAGACAACCCGCACCAAAACGGTCATATCTGGGGACCATTCTTGAGTGCTAACAAGAAGCGTCCTGGTGTTCAGTTTTACAGATGGATACTGAGTCGTGAGGTTTTCTAAGCAGGGAGAAATAAAATACCACTACTTCCGGAGGGAGGCAAAAACTAATAACGAACGCACGAACATTCGATTTGACAGATACATGTACATGTAGAACGGAAACTGTCAAGAGAAATTGGGTAAAGCCTGTACACCCACGTACACAGTATTTCCAATTCAGATAACACCAGATATGATGAATTTAAGGTTGTATGTTCAAACAATCTTAGAACACACGCTTCCGTATACAGGGAGCGAGGGAGAGTCTATACTTGCCCAGAACTAGTACACCCACGTACATAGTATTTCCAATTCAGATAACACCAGATATGACGAATTTAAGGTTGTATGTTCAAACAATCTTAGAACACACGCTTCCTTATACAGGGAGCGAGGGAGAGTCTATACTTGCCCAGAACCAGTACACCCACGTACATAGTATTTCGAATTCAGATAACACCAGATATAACGAATTTTAGGGTGTATGTTCTAACGAACTTTGAACAAACGCTTTGTACAGGAAGCGAGGGAGAGTCTATGCCTCCTGTGCAGGCCTTCGGTCGGGTGGGCGTTTTGTAGAATTTTCAATTTTATTTATTTCATTTATTTATTTCAAATGCAAACAACACATTACAAAGACTTACAGACAGCAGAGGCTGATAAACGTAAGTCAACATAAAGGATAACAAGTACGTTACATGTAATTTTTAGTTTTAATCGCCGGCCATCCTACAACCAGCCGCCCAGAGAAGGTTTGTACCCGTGGCTAATACTTGCCCAGCAGACTAGTGCCAGGCTTTTACACGCCTCCTTGGCGACTGTATGAAGTGATCCCCGTTGCTCAGCTCAGAACCTAATGTAGCGTGATAACCTTGGTGGAAGTGCCGGTAGGACGAGTTGGCACTCTCCCGTTACTATTTTCAGCGAGCCGGCAATCGATCGTTACTACTGAATGGGCACATCTGACACGTGATGGCACATGATTGCTTTGATAGGAGTAGATCTATGATTAAAGTACAGTTGTAGAGACATCAAAACAGAAAGATATCTGAGCAACACAGTTGGAACTACAATTGGACCGATCAAGTAACATCATTGAGTTATTTGTTCCTCAATTTGATCTGTCAGCTTCCAGACATTCTTCGTCATTTCACTGATCAATTTTTTTTTCTTCGAGATTTCTCACAGCATGTAATACAGCCTGCAAGCAATGTTACATATTTTGAAAGGGCTCTTTTTTATTACAGATGCCGTGCGTTTCTATGGTCCAAAACTTGATATGTGTCTTTTCAATCTAAAATGGATATGTCACTGCAGTATCTTCTCTCTGGACTCTCTGTATCTCAAAATGATCTTCGAAATGACTCTGTGTATCTAGAAACGTTGGCTAGATTGATGACAACTGTAGTGATATCACAACATTTCCAATGTGTATGCAATATATGACTTACGTACGTGGGATGAGTTTAAAAGGGTAAACAGCTTGAAGCAGTTGGATGTAGCATGGTATTGTTTTTCATTCAATGTGAACAGCCTATATATGTCCGAAAGCCTATCCAGTGTAGACTCGGATAAGTTTTTGGGAAAGCATCATTTAGTGTTTTTTTTTATGCCGCAGAACCACGAGGTAATTTGAGACAACTATAAGTTCGATCTCCTGCAAATAATCCACTCCTTGTATTCAGCAAATTGATTTTATTTTCTCCCTTGTTTTTTTTTGTGCATTAGATGGAACTGACTGAACTCCTGGGCCTGGTCACGTGTCTCTCCGTCGCGTCGCTTTCATCCAACGGCCCGCAAAGCATTGTGGTCTCCGGACACCGGATCCTTGACGTCATACATCCGGAACGCAGAGACATCCCTTCATCGGTCAGTGCCTTTCATCTTTCACCTGTAATCGAGGATGACTGTTATATATGTTGGACTCTTTATTACAAACATCAGCGGCTTATATCCATACACTGTTATACAGCTGTTATAGAACACAGACTTGTGATCAAAGAAAGTGCCCAAAGGCTGATAAATGATAATAGCAAACCTCTAAAGACCGCACATGTACGTACGTTGTAATTCTATAACTATAAATAGCCGTCAACACAAACGAACGGTCCCTGGTTTAGAACTCTGCGCCCATCTGTCTGGTTCCCTTTGAGATGTTGTTAAGCAATCGGGCGGACTCGGTGCAGGGATGTGTGGGCGTAATAGTCTGTCTGTGTTGCAGCTTATACAATGATTAAGGGCAATTAGGTTGTCCTATGTCCTACAGCCTAAGGTCGACCTACAAACAGGTCAGATCAGAAACCTTGGATGTATGTTCTCTTATTTTGTACAGTTACTGCGGCAGAGACGAAGCGATCTAAACACAAACGAGACGACAGTTCCGCCAACTGAGCTGCCGACCGACAATTTCAGGAGTTCCACGTCAGAGGACATTCTTAACACCACAGCGAGCGCGCCGTCCTCCACAGCTGCGAATCAGACATTCGCGGTAACACCGTTGTCATTCGCCACAACGTCAACTCCTACGCCAAACGTGAGCAGCGCATCGACCAATGTCAGCACTCCGCCTGGGAGGGCAACACGCTTCGCAACAACAACTCCAAATATCACCACCAGCAACAACAACAGCAACTCCACTTCTTCCTCGACTGTCAGGGCAAGCACGGGGACAGGATCGTATGCCTCAATCACACACCCAAAATCCGCCACATCTCAGAGATCAACGTCGGCGTCTAAAGCAATGCTCAGCACGATCTCTACCTCTACTACAGCTAAACCCTCTACGGTAGAGGAAACATCGACGGGGCTCTCCGGTTCCACGTCCTCTCCGAGACTGATGACTGCTGAGCAGTCCACGAAGCTGCTAAGTATGGCCAGGCCCACGAATGTTTCGCCGACGAATGTGGTGCCAACGACGCCGGCCATAGACAACCAGACAACGTTACCTCCAGCGAATGCCACAACTTGGGCGTGGTACGATGATGAACAGGGTAAGAACCTGAATTCTTTATAGGCGAATGAGTCTATCCATTAAGGAGCCATTGAGAGCGGTTCACATTTTCCAATTATGTGTTATTTGACCGAAGTGTTCGTACTACAAATCGCAGTACATCGAAATCCTATCAAACTCTTCTTAAAGCTCCATGATCAAACATTAAAAAAAGCATATAGAAAGTCGCGCTACTTAACCTTTAAATAGAAACGCAAGCCATGGATAAAGCTCACACATGCCGATAGAAAAAGCAGCAACACTGTCTTTTGGGACAATATATAGCTTAGACGTGTAAAAGTATTTTCGCTTTAGAACGTTGACGGCCCTAGAGAGATGACCGAATAATTTATTCACATCCAGACAGAGGCCATTCCGCGCCATTACCCGCTCCCGTGCGCTGCTGAAGTGGCGGGGATTAAGATATTCCTCAGTCGTATTGACACTGGCTTTACCCAAAGGGATGCTAAATCCACCTTGGGAAAGGTCCATGAAAAAAAAATCGATTTTAGAATGGAAGATGGATACAATGGTCTTCAAACACTCAGCGTGGACTTCAAACTTGAACGTTGTTTGAATTAGTGTGGATTTAGAGAAACATCTTGGTATGTAGAGTTGAAAATTACATGTTACCTGTTTGTATGTTTCCCTTAGTGTTGCTAAAAGTCATACTAGCACCGTGAATTTCTCTGATATGCCAGAAAAAAGTATGAACATTTGCTTGTCTACACTGGTTATCATTACAACTCAATACTTTTTTGAATCTCGATTTAAAACAATCGCTTTCCATTCCTCGAAATAATGAACATTCTATTTTTACAGGTTAAGTTACTTGGTAAACATATGGTTGAACTTCAAGCCATCTGTTCGCTTCAATGACAAGAAACGTTACTAGTCAAGTTGAGCAGGTGGCTTTAAGTTGCTAGCTTTCAGGATTCATGCCGTCCAAACCTTTCTATTTCAGCTCTGTAGATCGCCGCCATTTCAAGATCTCTTCATTATATTTTCACGCCACCATAAACCCTAAGATCAGATCATGCACACTCTGCCTACTTCTCATTAACATCAAGCAACTTCACACGACGATAGACAAAGGCGTCGCCTGCCAGACGTTCTAAACTACTCACGTCTCTGTCGAGAGGTAGACGCCTCAGTATAGATGACTTCATTAGAAGGGGATGCTTAATCAGATGTTGCTAACACCTAAGCTACAAGATCACCAAAACAGATTTGGAGAACCCCGAATGGAAAAACATTCGACCCTGTTGTTATCACTGAAAGATTCTCTTTCACGTTATTAAGACCCGTCCTTACGTGTGGTCATCACAAGGTGAATCTATCCTATGGGGCTCTTTACGGTCCACAGACATCACATCAAGCGTGTATTGCTGCTGGTAATGTAGGGACATCAGGGTTCTTTCGTGGATAAACCAGGCTGATAGGAGACTGCATTTTGTTTGAAGAATCTGGGAGGAATGAGACGAAAGAGCTCTTTTGTGTGCAAATGATTTGATGTCTTCCATAAGTTTTCTCTCCTTTTTTAGTTTAATTGTGAAAGTTCGTGAAACACCTTTCGTGTTCCACGTATGGTATGGCCTCTTACAAATATGAATGGCTTCATTTACATGGTGTGCACAGATAGACAGAAAAAATTCATCCGCGCCAAAATGTTCCCAAAACCTCGTAAAGGATTTGTATTTCATCAGAACATCCCGTCTCCTCCTTACGGCGAGGTTTTAGTCTGCCTGCCGGTATTTTCGGATAAAGACGGTGCCTTTTTGTCTGTAATTATACATAAGTCATGTCTGCTACATCAGACATAATAAGCCTTTTACGTTCTGGGTACGTTTGGATGCCATTAACATGAATGGAGACGTGTTACAGTTTGGAGAGCATGTTAATACAGATACAGGCACAGTGATAGGGCACTTAAATCAAGGAGGATATAGTAATACATGCTGATACAAACTTCATTTGTAAGAGACACTGATATGAAGGTGTTTTTTTTGCTTCTCCACCTGTTGTATTTTCTTCTTGTCTATTTTCCCATTCCTTCATTGCCCCTGTCTCCCACGTACAATCACTGACTGAAATTTGCTGTCTTAAACCACATTACTAACAAAATTACACACTTAGCATCATAGTCTAATGTGTCCACAGTTAAACATTTCTGTCTACAGCTATCCCATCTCCTACGCTGAACACAATTTTATGTCTTACTCGCCTAATAAAACCATCAGCCGCACAGGCAAATAAAGCCGATTAGTAGTGCGCACACAGCCGTACGGAGACATCATTTAAAGGCATCCAATGCAGTTGTAGGGCTTGGAAACCCGATTTTTCAAAGTCAATATTCTAGTCACTTATCTACATACTGTGTTGAAACAAATGTATGTGTTGTAACCCACATGGAGCAAAAGTACCCAAAATTCTGACGGAAAATGGTTACTGGTAGGGCCATTGGCTGATTTTTAGGGTACCACCCATAAAATAAAGGACTCATCTTAGGGCTTGTTTCTCCAGTTTTGCCCAAAGTATGAAATACTGATCGAAATGTGCTAATGTGAAGCAGTATGTGTCAATATCACACAGATTTCTTTATTCAGAATATTTCCAGTTTTGCTGCTCTGAAATCACATTGGCTGCTCTTGCCGTTTCTCCATTAGGTCTGTCGGACTTCCAGAAGACTGTGATGATTGTCTCCTTCTCCATCATCGGTGTGCTCTTCTTAGCCGGCTTCATCGTCAGGATATGGTAAGTTACAATCTCACAGACATTCGCCCATTAGGCCACACCAAGTAAATTTTATGGATGACGTCCTTTGGAAACCCTAAATCTAATGCGAGAGGGCGAAAAAAAACAAGAAGGGCCCTAAAAAACAAGATGCCTAAATTAGAAATATACTAAGAGACGACAAATGTTATGACACAAATTGATTGAGGTGACACAGTGTAACAAGCAAGAAGTCTTTTATTCATCATCAAAAAAACAATAAATCAGGTGGAATAGCAGTTGTCGTCCTGTCCTGTTTTCGCGTTACAGGTTTCACGTCAATCTGACGATTTGCGGCACCGTCGTGACTCTTTGGTCATAGTTACAAGAAGCGGAATTTCTTGTTTTTTTTTAATAGGAACGGGCCAAAATCAATGCACGCGCGGACGTCATCCATAAAATTTACTTGGTGTGGCCTTACAACATCCAGTCACAAGAACGAATCAATAAATCAATAAACAGTCTTCTGGGAAACCTTGAAAAGAAGAGACAACATCCGCGTAGGCGTTATAAAGACATTCGAAGTCATTCAAAGAAAAATATTAACCACGTTACGGACTGTACGAACTCCTTTTTTCACTTCGCTTGCGGGAATCAAAAAGCATTAGAAAGCAGCGATGCAACTGTCACTCAACGCTAGGGGGAGAGACAAGAATGGTAGTGTGAATGACCTGTAGAATCAGAGACGACAAACAGTATAGTTTGTCGTAAAGAACGCTGTGTAACCAATTACTGAAACAAGAATATGAATGACATGTAGAATCACAGACGTGAAACAGTGTAGTTTTTCAAAAACAATGTAATATAACCTACTGGTATAACTGAGACAAGTGTAACGGAAGTGAAAAGAAACCTACAGTGGGGGTCGCTGGAAGACAGACGTAGAATGTCCAGACTGTGCATGATGTACAAAATGACTAATAAACTGGTGGATGTACCAACCACTAAGTATCTGATACCAGCCCAGAAAAGAACAAGAAACAGTTATGCCTTCAAATATCAGAGTTATCAACCAAGGATTGAGGTATTCAAAAACTCGTATTTCCCCAGAACTATCGTAGACTGGAATTCGTTGCCATCAAGCACATCCTGCAATCAAATGTGCAAAGATTGAGTGTAACAAGTCGTTCGGTGTGATATAGCTAGCTGCCGCCGCGCCGCGTGCCTGCGAAGCTGTTGTGTTACGCCGAAGGGCGGTTATACCGGCTATACCGATACAGATACAGATACAAATACAAGAATGTCAGTGTGAATGCCCTTCAGCACCAAGGACAGGGGTTACCCTGTGAATATCATTCAGCACCAATGTCACAGACAGTAACGCCAATCTGGATGTCATCTAACGCCAAGGCACACAGGGGATAGGCATCTATGTGAGAGCAATGGAGCAATTCCAACGGCATGATATTTTACGTTGTCCTCATTGGGACAAATGAAAGACATCAGACAGGGATTGCGTTCGTAATTGAAGACACGAGATGCATGTATCAACATCAACGTTACCAGTAAAGTAACTGATCAGACGATATGACATTGCAATGTTTTGAACACAATGTTCGAAATCAAGCAAATGTCTTGTCGAAGGAATTCTAGACGTTTCGAAAACACACACACAAACGACGTGCACACACACATATACACACACACACACACACACACACAAACAGAAACACACACACACGCACAGACACATACACACACAACACACACACACACACACACACACACACACACACACACACACACACACACACACACACACACACACACACACAAACAGAAACACACACACACGCACAGACACATACACACACATACATACACAGCACACACAAACACACACACGACACACCTAAAATGTGACAGGGAGATTTAAATATGTAATGTATCTCTAGTTAGATGTTGTTCCATTCAAACACAAATTGGACAGCCCTTAAGTGACAAAATACCGTTACGAGTCACATTTCAGCCGTTAAATAATAGAAGGGATATGGAGCCCTGGCACGCACCTAGTGGTAGTGACGTCATCATGACGTCATGGAAAATGTTTCATTGCAATGCAATGCTGTGGCGCCACGGTAAAACAGTTATGTCTCTCCTTAGACTTTTGTGGTAATCTTTTGATTAGTTGCATTGTGTTAGGAAACCGAGTAATAATGTAAAGAATATACGATATTCCCCAACATCTGCTTGGAGACCATTTCGCTAGTATGCAAAGTCTGTAGTCGCATACCCTGTTATGCTAATAACCATTAAAGCCACGCCAATATGAAGCAGCTTACATGTATGTTTCCAAACTAAAGTAAAAGACGGTTATAACACTACGCAAGAGAGTAAAGAGAAGAATAAATACAGGATAAACTGTGGTAAACCAAGTGAGCGCTAGAAAATCCCTGTGATCATTCTAAGTGACTTTGTAAATCACGTCAGCTTATTTACGGTTGACTCTTTTACAGCATGCCTATATGATGCCTTTGGGCATCAGGCGAGTATCGTAGCAACGTGCCATTGAACTTAATATCAAGTTGACACCTCCTTGCGTAATGGCAAAGGATACTTTTAACACCCCAGGCAAAGGATTTTCCCAAGATACTGCTAAAGGCGGGTGCCAACCCTCTGCTTAATACATGAACTGTTACTTCAGATCCTGCCTGTTTCTAAAAGATTTCAATTTAATGACTTAAAAAATAGCGAATAATGTCAATGGCATTAGTTGTGAAGCAACCGTAAATGTTTTATTGTAAGCTTTAGGCCATGTTGATTTGATTATATGGATGACATCCGCGCGCATGAACTTTCGGCCGCCCCCCCCCCAAAAAAAAATTTCAACCATACTGTAAATCGTACAAAACGTACAAAAATGAGCAAATATATACAAAGTTGTAAAAAATATTGTAGAACCATATCAATGTCGTAGAATGCCAAAATCAAACGAAAAAGACGAAAATGTAAAGAAATGAATTTAAAGGGTAGATTATTCGCCATACCATACTCTGTGTCATTTGTTCAACCTTCATGACCACGTAGATTTGAAAGCAGCTTTTTTGTCAAACTTTTTTACTCGCACGCTCGCATCAGTTTTGGGGTTCCTAGAGGATTTCTACCATATAATCGAATCAACATGGCCTTACCTGGAACAACAAACATAGAAGAAAACCTAGGTGCCTGTGGCTAGTAAAGCCGTCCTTTACTCCTGTCAATCACGTTTTGCCTGACTGTTCCCGCTGCCCCAGATTTACGATGACTCGTGCCCCATTAATTTCTATTTGTTTGCTGCCCCTCTTCAGCGTAATAATGGGTCTGCCAGCGGCGGGAAGGATTTTCAGTCATGAATTTTTCATTAGTACATATAGAATGATTTATGGGGTGGTTACTCCTAAATGAAACCGCCTGGACAAGTTGGGGATTCGCGGGAGGGATTCCACGTATCTTGTAGATCGTACGCTAGGTTTATCCATAAAACAAACCAGAATGATTTAATAAGAATCCACCATGTACATGTGCGAGTTATTGATAAGAAGTAGTTTCACAGGGTTATAAATCCTTTTTATTAAAAATCTCTCACATCAGAGCCAACGTACCCGACTATCAGCATGGATATCTTGCTCAATGTTGTACTTCATATGTAACAACTCTGTATTCAGTGCAAGCCAGCTCCTTGATTGAATAGCCATGGCACGAAGAACATATTCGATTTGACAGTCCACAAGTCAGCTGTATAAACTTTAGAAGACCACCACGGCATACAAAACATAATACATATACCTTTTCACTGAAAGAAAATTGAGAAACCCTGGTACCTATACAATTTCGACCACGCACACAATCTACCAAGATGACATAAGTAGACCCAAGGGGAGATCAGCTTTCTCAGTCTAACTCTAATCATCCCCTGGTGGAACAATTAGAAAAGACCTCTGGTACTCTTAGGAATAAGTCTTGTGTTTTATAGCGCGTTAGTTTAATAGAAATGAATGGTTTTGTATTCACAGCCGGGTCGACAAATCATGACATTCATACCAAATAAAAAAGCTTTATGGTTTACCCATGTGCATTGATACAGTTGGAACGTCTTAAACGTGCCTTAAGGTAACGTCGTAATTGTAAAAGTGTGCTCAAATCTGTGTAAGTACCATCTAGCGGTGGAGTCGTGTCGCGTAACGGCAGGGTGTTCGGCTCAGGACCCAGAGGTCCTCGGTTTAAATCCTGCCATGTCACCGATCTTGTGCCCCTGGGAAAAGCTCGACTTTCCTCACTCCACGCAGGTGTAAAATGGGTACCTGACTTCGGTTGGGGAGGTAAAAGGCTTTGGAGGGAAGACGGTTGGGCTCCGCCTACCAATAGCACACCCTATACACAGTGGATAGATAATAACCCTCTGCCCCTACGGCCCCCAAAAAAGCTACATATAGGACTATGTTTACCTTTACCATCTTCACAGTCTAATCGTCTCATACAAACTTCTTATAACTACCGTGGAGCACTAGAATATGATTAGTTCAACTTGTGAATGATAAATCTATGAAAACAGGCTAGATTTTCTGACGATAGCGATTAACCAAAACCACATTGATTGTAGCTACAATTTGGAAACGAACAGTCTGTTTCATCTTTACTTATGTTTCGTCGCCATCACCACTTATTGTATACAATGTATGATATTTTATGATATTGTATTTTACAGTATTTTCATGTCTAATGTGTGATATTGTAGGAACTTGTATTTAATTTTGATAATGTTTGATACCGCAATCTGTTTGATTGATATTGTATTGTTCCGTAACTTTATTGTAATGTTTGTGAAGACAGCTTGTAAAGGTGTCTATATATACCTGTTTTGCCCTCCCTTCCACTTGTACTTTTGGTAAACTCAAGTAAACAAATAAACAAATGAATTTTTCAGGAACCGCTGGAACAAGGCTCAGTTGGAGAGACGGGAGAACGAGCGGGAGTGGAGGCGTAAGTCCCACAAGAACGCGCAGTTCGAGCGGCGAGCGTCCGGCGCCTCACGGACATCCTCTGTCAACTCTAGGCAGGTACTTGTGTCGTGAGGTGGACGTACACCGTTTTATTTTATTTTCCTTCCTCTTATTTGATTAATATTTGGTTTCTTTGCATATGTGTTGATTCTACATACGTTTCATCTGTTGGTTTGTCACATTGCAAATATATTAAATACTAGTATATGGCAGTAGGTTTAAATGTATTACATTTACGATGAAAAATTTGGCAGGCATACCATCATGACACATATCCTGCAATTTGCACGTTAATGACAAACGCAATATCTGTTAGCACTTTTCTGTAAAGGAAGATTACATTCGAAGTGCGCAGATTAAATTCTCGGGAAAACATTATAATTACAACGTTACAAAAGCCCGGACCAGCCACCAAAACGAACCAAAAATCACTTAGTACTTATATTGCCAGAAACTACCAGAATAGAAGATGACAAGCCATATGCCAAGTTATCATGTACCTTTACGTGCGTTTTACTATCATTTTTATAATTTGGCAGTCCTTGATAATACATAAGTATTTTTTTTATATTCGTCTTCAATGAATAGCATTAAAATAAGGGTCACTGAAACGTCTTGTATTCCTCTGCAGGGGGTACGTGGCGACAAGCCTGTGACAGTTGACACGGTCGCCTTGGAAACCACTAAGATCCCGGATGTGGAGGACAGCCGTCCTTACACCGTCGTCCCTCAGCTTCACATACCTGATCAGTGCGTCACTGACGTCAGCGAGCCAGCCTCGGAGCGTGCGCAGACGCGACCCGACGAGTCCGCCTACTACGCGAAACCACGCGAGGACACACAGGAGGAACCCGCGGAAAGTTCCGAAACTGAGAGCATGGCGGACGCCAAGAGAAGGGTAGACTCTCTTAGAGACGACACATCTCCGTTGTTAAGGAGAGACTCCAATCAGGTATCAGCTGCTAATAACGACAGCAAAGACGCGACGTTGGTTTCCAAGGACAACATAAACATTAACGCAGCGCAAAGTAGAGAAAATAGGTCGAAACTGGAAGACAAAACAAAAAAGAAGGGTGTAGGAAATTTGGTAGACAGTAAAATAGATGAAGCTCCGAAAAGAGAGCGTATACCAAGTAGCAGTGACGTGAAAGTGAGATCTTTGCATTTTCCAGCAAAGTCGCCAGGAGGCGGACGGGACCCCAAAATGTCCATACCCGAAGGACCAAAATGGTTGTATCACCACGGCTCCCTTCCATTGGACATGAAAAAATTGCCGCCGGAATTTTTCGAGGAGCTCGGCATTTCCCCTCAGGCACTGTTCGAGCCTGTAGAAAGACTCAACCTACAGGAGATCTGGAAGCCGATGGGAAGGACTCCAGCGCCCCCTATCGAGGGGCATGGGAGTTTCAGGCGCTCCCTGGCGGAAAACCTGCCTCCCGAGCACGAAGATAGGGAAGTGTTGAAGGACACCTACGAGGATGAAACTGGGATGATGAGCACAGAATTATAGTTCAAAATCACTAGCGAGGTATCGTTGGTAGTTTTCGGCATATAATCAGTTTGGGAGAGGTCTGAGGGCAGGCATAGACCTGTGGGAAAGTTGAAACACCACACAACTACCTGTTCCATATCTTATCATCATATCTCCTGCACATTATTATGTATGAGTAACGATGTCTCAGTGCCACATATCACAATACCTCCGTGAGGGATTAGTGCATAATGTTTGCAGCGGCAATGTCCCTATCTTGCGCTGGACGCCTTCTTGTTTCTTCTCTTTTCATATCCTTATATCCATATATGTATTACTGTTCTGGCTCCATTGATTTCTTACAGTTCACCATATACACGCCAAAAAACAGTTACTCAAGCAACTGGATATGACTTAACCATATACAATTTATAAGCTGCGTTTAACAAACAAAACCCTTTAATAAAAGAGGGTATGCAAAAAGTGTACATTTTAGGACTGTAGATTTTCTATATCATACAGTAACTTATTGTCTGTGACTTAGAGAGAATGCAATATGTTTTATATGTTGTTGCGTCTGTAGATGTTTATGTGCAAGTCATAAAGAATGTTCCACACAGTAATATGATGTAAATGTAACAATATAATATAAAACAAACAAAATAGTGAAACTGTTCTGATCTTTTCCTTGTGTTGCTTCTAAGTAATACTAGTATTGCTGTTGCTAAAAATATTAAACTCCACAGATGGAATCTTCCTTTCCACATACCGGTACATGAGCCTGCAAAACACATTTTTCATCTTTTCATATCCTTACTGCTGGACAATTTGGGGAAACAACCAAACAAGAACCAGAACAAACATCATAGTTTCTTATTCATACATCATATACATCTTAGACTCTCTACATGTAAAAAAAATGGATAAAAATGTTATCAATGTTTACAAGAAAACGTAACTGTTTACTGATTTTAAAATACCATATTTTACTACAATGACAACATTGCTTTCTTTGAGCAATTCAGCAAAATGTACTTTTGTTACAATGATAATTGATATGCTTTGTTGAAACATTATCTCTATCACAAGTAATGTCTGTTAGGTCTTAAAAGTTAAAACTCAATTGAGTCTGATCTTCATGTTATAACAGGTATTTCAACCTGCTTTACATAAATTACATTTCCAGAAAATACCATAGAAATATGGAGTAAGAAACTATGCATAAAACTGTGCATGATATCCAAGTACATGTATATACCTTGATCTGAGCAGTACCTCTATAAAAGATCGTTAATGTCCCAGTACTGATGGTCATCCCAGTCAGCTGAGTCATCGCTGGTGTCTGAGAAGCTGTACACACTGTTGCCATCGTCGTCACTTTCTGTACGCAACATCTCGTGTCCGGGGCTGAGGCGTGACGGGAAGAGTCGAGCGTTAAGGCACAGGAACCTCTGGTGCTCGAAGCAGACGGGCGGGAGGCATCTGGCTTCATGGTCCCAGTGTGCAGCCTCGCCGGGCCCCTCACTCAGACTGTGGATCTGGATACGATCGGTGGTGCGGTCTGTGTTTCTTGGGACTATGACTGCACGCAGTTTGCCCTGGGGAAACACAACAGGCAAAAATCTCAGAATGCAATGAGAACTGTCATAAATAGAAACAAAAAAGAATTTGACCTTACAAGTACATTGTACCACCCAATCATTTATTCATGTAATGATTGAATAACTCACTCAGTCCTCATGCACTTGGTCACCTTGGTGTGTCAAGATGACTAGTTTTTTAAAAATGAACAGAGGTTGAAAATCCAAATCAATTCAAATAGAATTTTTTTGTAGAATTTGACGATGGTCTTGCTATCATTCCAGTATTTGCAATTAAAGAATAAAAGCCCTTGTGAGGAAGTCATAAAATAATCTTGATAAAAAAAGTCTGTAATAGCTGTAGCACTAGAAACTAATCTTTACTAACCTGATAGCTGACTAGCTGACCAGACGCAGCCTCCGGTAACTCCAGCATGTCCTGTTGGTTCCATGTGCCCGTTCCTGGGCTGTACGCACACATGCGGGTCATGCTCTCATTAACACAGTACAGCTTCCCTCCATGTGCCCAGGCATCGTTGATGTACATGCGTGTTGTGATCTTGCTCAACTTGAACCAGTGATCGGTGCTCACGTTGTAGCGGTAGAAGTACTTTGAGCTGACCACATATATGTACTCACCGATACTCGCTGTGAAAAAGTAGCTGCCAAGGGATTCTGGGAAGGACCTAACGACAGTCCACTGGTTCAATGTGGGATCAAAGCACTCCATTTTGTTTTCATCACTGCTTATGTCACCGAGGAGATAGATCTTACTGTTGACATGTGCTAAATCACAGGGGACTCTGTGTTCATAAAGGGGAGGGGCCTTCTCTATCCAACGGTTGTTGACGGAGTCGAACATCACAAATCGCCGCAGAAGGTGAGACATGTACACGACGTACAGGATGCTTTGCTCAATGTCAACAATGATGGCTGAAGGACACTCCGTACCAGGGTTTGAGAGCTGGTACATAATCCTTGTCTCTGGATCGTACGCCCCGATGGCCATCTGTCCTCTTCTGCGACCTTTATACGGGTCAATCGGATCTGCACCGCCGAAAAACACGTACAACTCTTTGGCATCCATACCAAGCCTACCCTGAGTTGACCCCTTCATGCAAAGGCCAGTCTCCCTGATCTCTTCTACTGCCTGCACGTGAGTGAAGAGCTCGGGAACCTTGGAGGGTTGAATGAGATTGAATCGTATGACACTCGCAGCATCCTCCAAAAGGGACATCCTCTCTTCTGGGTTGTATTTGATCCATCTATTGAAAAGAGGATAACAAAATTAAGTCAGCAATATGTATAGTAATACTCCAATCGGTAGGTATTGCCACCAAAAAGTACCTTATATATGTGTGAAGGAACTATCCAGGTATTGTTCAAGCCATAAATTGCTCAATGTTTTACAAGCACACAGATAATTTTGCAATTAGCTTGATCTTCTATTGAAAGTTGTCATGGGCCTATTCTTAAAAGCTACTACGAGTACTGGCTCAGCAAAGTGACAAGCAGCTCTACATCTGTGCAACTTAGCTATATCTTAATACTCAACAATAGGTGTACCTTTCCACTGCCTGTAGAACCACAAGTTCATCTTCTATGTCAAGGTCAGGACTGGACAGGATGTCCTTGAGGTCTGACAGGGGGAGGTCCAAAAACTCTTCTGTCTGGGACAGCTGGGAGAACTTGCTACAGATGAAAGCTTTTGCTGCCTGGAGAAGCTGGGGGAAGAACAATCTTAAGTTATAGAAATGTACCATCCCCTATGACAAATAGGCACAAAGATGTTTGTGATCTATGTCACAGGTCCACTTATGTGTCTACTTCCTGGATTACAATGTACTGTATACATGTATATACTATAGTAGTAAGCCCTCCTGTGAAGAACTAGAGAAGAAGATAAAGAAGAAAATATTATGTATAGCTGTGTGAAACTTTCATTGTAATATTTTTTTCTTCTTGAAGTTCTTCTATTTTTCCTGTAACAGACTGAAAGATGTCATTTACATTATGTGGGCTCCTAATTTACCAAATTGTTATTATAATTTTTTTATTGGTTTCCTCATAGCCAGGGCAGCCCAACTAGTCAGTGGCATATTACAAAGGGCTTGCCCTGCTGACAGACATGACAAAACATTACGGCAACATATAAGGTGGCTTAGCAATCTACAAAACTACTAGCTACTATAGTATTGTTATGAACTAACACAAAGTTACTTGAAGCACCATTTCTTACCTCAGTAATCCCGTAGGCTTGGGCAAACTGGTAGGCTATCATGCAGGTGCTGCTGTCCACCTGGTTCACCATGAACTGCAGACAGGTGTCCCGCACATGCTCCACCTGTAGCAGGTCTGAGGCCAGGTACAACTCCCTGGCGTTGGTCCTGCTGACCTGCACTGTTCCACTGTAGGCGTACTTCAGGATCTCCTCCATACAGCCGGCATCGATCTCCTGAAGGGACACTGTCTGCTGCTTGGCCTCACTAAACCCTCCGGTAAACATGCCTGTCACATGGAAGAAGAATATATACAGTACACTCTGGTTGCAAATAAATCTTTGTTTTATATGGTTTAAATGTCTTGGCATGGGTTAAGGTTGTTGCCTGGGTACTAAACGCCCTACTTTTAGCTGCCGAGTCTCTTTTATTTCCGGAGAGGACAAAAGAGACTCGATAGCTACATGTACATGTAAAACAGGTTTGTAAGCTACTCTGTTGAGTCAGAATCTAAAGAATATAGGTTTGAATCCACTGCATGCTGCAAGTCAAATTCCTCAGATCAATCTACTAGCTAGTAGGGACATGCCTAACCCAGGTATACGTACTTGGGTGAACCTTGAATTCTGAGTCCCAAATATCGGCATACCATGCGGTATACTAGTACATATACACTACCGTTGTATGAAGTCAGAGTTGTACAAAACAGATCATGCTTACTTGCGAAGTAAGGACAGCTGGCCACCAAAACAAGCCGATGGCAGGCAAACGTGCGGCCTTCCACCTGTAAATACACATCAGCGAGGCTTTCACTCTTCCACAGATCGTGTACGCGGCCAAGAAAGTGGTCAGAGTAGCTCTCGTCGAGGCTTTCTATTGTCGGGACGCTCACGACGGCATTTTCCATGTCGACGGCAGCCATCTTGGACGTTCTGGTCACAACAATGGCTCAGTCCATTTTAAAATAGGTGATTTGTATTATGCCAGTAGCAAAAGGTTCATCATTATCAGGTCAGAAATTGAAACCAAACACATATCTCTATGTTATAATACGTTTTTAACCTAAAACAATTTTCGGTATATTGCTTTTGTTGGAATATTTTAGTGTGTAGGTAAATATTTTATTTCATATCCCACCTGAATACGAAGGTACAGTCGAAGCACGGGAGGACGATTTCATTGTATTAGAGGGTAGTACAGTGGCTTATAAATGACTTCACTTTTGGCTACATTTGCTTAAAAATATATGGGTCTTTTGAAAACAAGTCAACTGTATTGTTACAAATCGTTATTTTAATACATATTGAAGAAAATTAAAGGAATTTGCAAGATATTGTCTATCAAATGTGCTAGCCTTGCTACCCCCATTTTGGAGATGGTAGATTCAGCAAGGAAACATGGCCGGAAAATTCGACTTCAAAATGTCCAAATTCAATTCTGACCACTTCTCTACTTCCTTCGCGTGGTTCCGGACCATGCGGGACGAACAGAAGCTGGTGGATGTCGTCCTGAATGTGAACGGGAAGGATTTCCACTGTCACCGCGCTGTACTAGCGGCATGCAGCCCCTATTTTCACACCATGTTCACAGGTTAGCTTGACGTTTTTGAGTCCTTCTGATTCTGAACTTCTCTCCTTTGATGTACCATATATGATGATATGCATGTTTAATCATAATTTGTGTGATTAAAGGGGAATATTGGAAACAGAACAAGATACACATAAAAGTGTCATTAACCAAAACACCGTATATTTTGATCAGTAAACAAATACTAAACATCACAAGCTACTATATTTTGACATTTTATATATACTGCTGCCTGGGTAGGTATTTTGCGGGCGGGACTGACATGGGTGGAGAATATGTCAACATATATTGTTACCAATACTCATGGCTAAGGCCATGCTCTTGATGGTCTCAATTTTTTCCTATCGTCATGACATTGATGTTCAGGGCTCTGATAAACATGTCTGAAGTGGATCATTTTTCTCCATTATTATTTTCATTTTTCAACTTCTCCATATCATAATAACCACAGGAAATATGTCTGAGAGCCGTCAGGAGAAGATCGTGTTACAGGACGACACCGCGGCAGGTGTGAAGGTCGAGGTGGCCGCGATGGAGGAGGTCATGCACTACGCGTACAGCGGGGAGGTCAGGGTGACCTCCGACAACGTCCTGCAACTCTACGTAGCAGCTGACCTGTTCCAGATAGACTTCATCCTGCAGCACTGTGTACGGTACATGGAGGGACAGCTGGACTCTTCCAACTGTTTTGGGATCTTCAGTTTTGCTGACATGTTCGGTGCAAAGACGCTGAGAGGGAAGAGTCTGAAGTACATCTGTAGCAGGTTTGGGGAGGTGTCACGGGAGGAAGACTTCTTCCAACTCAGCCCCAGCCAACTGTGTGACATCCTGGCCAGCAATGACCTCGCTATATCTGTATGTGTCCTTCATAGTTCAACTTTTACAGTCAGTATCTTAGAAGTACTGAACTTTCAGAACATAACTGGAAGTTGTTGGAAGCTAACGGTAATGGCATGTTGTTGTTTCATGTTTGGGAAAAGTGCTTAAAGTTAAACTGTTGTACTATTGTTTCCCTCCTGGTTGCAATGCAGGCTTATACAGTCATGTTTCACATTATGTAACGACAAACCTTCCTTATTGCTGCAGGATGAGATGGCTGTGTGGAGTGCAGTCATCAGCTGGATCATGCACGCACCAAACTCCAGGAAGGACAGTCTGGTGGACGCCCTGACCTGCATACGACTACCGCTTCTACGGGACAGCGATATCGACTGGATCTCGGAGTACATCACCATGTCACAGCTGGAGCAGGACGTGGATGGCCCAATGACGTCCATGGACAAGGCGGTAGAGTTCTGGAAGGAGGGGCAGAGCTGTGCTCAACAGAGAGTTGGGGAGGCAGAAGAAATGATCGTTGTTTTTAAGGCCCGACAGAAACTTGAGCCTGGTGTAGCTACCGCTGGACAGACAGACATTGAAGCGGAAGAGCTGGCTTGTCTGACCAGGGATGGAAGAGTATACAGCACAACTAAACCTTGTGTGGACTCCATCCTACCACTGGGAGTTGTGTCTGCTCATGAGTGGAGCATTTACATTTTTGCGTTTCCAGAAGCCTCTTACCCTTCTTTCCATAAGTATGACTGCGTACAGAACGAGTGGACTCAGTTGGCATCCCCTCCTTCAAGACATGACTATAAGAATCCGTACATCACACATGTTGGGGACAAAATCTATCTTTTCTTCTCATCAGGTCAGACAGAAAACATGCATTGCTTTGACATGCGGCTCCGGGAGTGGAGGGTCCTCTCTGTGGTGCCCCGTGTGGTGTTCACTGACACCAAGCTCGCCGTTGTTGACAAGTACATCTACGCTGTCAGCTGCGAGTTTCTCTTCCGGTACAACTCCATCGGAGAGGAGTGGACCAAACTGTGGAGCCTGGCCGACTCCGGAGTTTCTGTTGAGAAGATCCGTGGTGTTGTTGGGGTGAGGAACACCGTATACTGCCTGTCACAGAACGCACTGTACGCCTACAGCACTGACCGTAACCAGTGGAAACAGCTGGACACAACAGGAGTCCCGGGTGTGACCACGACAACCAGTGTGGACTCAGGCCCGCACCTGGTCAGTTTCCAGGGCCACCTGCACCTCTTAGTCGCGTACAAGGGAGTGGCGATAGTCGGGTACAGGTTCAGTGAAGTGGAGAACAAATGGGAGCTGGCCTTGCACATTCCATGCACATATTACATCGGTACTCAGTTCCACTGCATCACTGCAAAACTGTTTGCCTCCCGACTTGGAACCGGAGAAATGTTCAAAGACCCACTACACGAGATAGATGGAACATAGAGCTACAAAGACTCCATGTTACAAGTACGGTTGAAGTACCCATATACACGTAGTATTAAACAGACTTTTGTAACTTTGTATGCTTTCTTGTATTTAAAATTTTGATCTACTTTAAGATAATGTTATAATCTTTTTCTGTGATAGATATATATACTGGACTAAAGTGCAGTTTTATGTAACCTCAAATAAGAGTAAAGATGGTAGAAGACAGTATTTTTGAATAGTTGTTTTGTGGCATATAAAAGACATGTTTTATTAATTGTTGACTAATACAAGTCACTAAATCAATATCATTCCATAATAGTTTCATGTAATAAAATATTGCTGGCAAAATACACATACTCTGTGTTTACTGAGATCTTGTTGTCATCTTAGGTTGTAGCCCCAAAGTGTAGTTGTGAAACTGTTGGGTCTTTTGTTTATGAATGAATGAATGTTTATTGTTTGTATGGTTAATCCCTTACACAGTTACAGTTTTAGACTCCCCACCTATCATTATCCTACTTATTTCAGTCAAAACCTGCAAATTCAAGTACAAAACAAAAATATGTCATCTGCTTATATTATAGGGCAGGGGTTCCTAATTGGAATATACATGTACCAGGTATACAACATTAACTTAAGACTTCTTTTCTTGATGAGCAAGCTAAGACAACTTTCAGTTTCAGAGAATACCTTTTATCACTTTTTTGACCGCGCACTACCACGGACCCCTGTCGCGGAAGAACTTTTGTGTGCACTCGTACTCATAGGGTCCCTGCTCTTCCCCACACCCCACTGGTAGACCTCCCTGCTCTTCCCCACACCCCACTCGTAGACCTCCCTGCTCTTCCCCACACCCCACTCGTAGACCTGTCTCTGCTCTTCCCCACATCCCACAATTGCATATTTTGTAGAATGTAGTAGAGCCTGTCCAAATAAATGACCTCAGGTAACCCTCTTCTGATCACGTGGTGGTTGGTCACGTGACGTTTGTCTCGTGACACACCACAACCCGGAAGTGAGGTGGATGATTGCCGGTTCTTACGTTTGGATCTCTTTGGATCTATATGAGTCACAGTCTCGTGTAAACCTGATTGTTTAGCAGCTTGTTACGGAATTCTTTGTCGTCTTTATAATTTCGTGTTCCGCACTAGGGCGTTTGACAGGCGCCAGAGAGTACAGGAGGACCACACTGGGGAAGGAAAGGATCGCAACCTTGGGAAATTTAGTCTACTACTAGGTCACCACAGGTAAACCTGTCAAAACAGTCATATAATTCAATTATCTGCCTTTTAAAACTCTTTATAATCAAGAAAAATACACCATGATTTTTTAACGTTACAAAAAGTAAAACTTTTAAAAACTACAAGGTGCAGTCAGGGTGGAAACCTTGTGAAGACAACTAGTTGATCGGTTTAATTTGATAATAATTTGCCTGAGCACTTTTCTTCCAGTGGCAGTGTGCATTCACGTACACTTTGCTTGATGCCACAGTATACATTGTGTAGGGAATGCTTGTTCGATTGACCTGTTTGTCGGTGATTTTGGGTTGAAGTTAACGTGCTCGTCTGCTCGAGTGATGACCTTTCTCGGTGACCTCTTAGAGACAGGGCAGGGTCAATATCCAAGAACGACATGTGACCATCATTTAAGTTACCCATGTCATACTGTTGAATTATAGCTGTTCTTCGAAATCACAAAGGTCATCCAAGTTTACCCATTTTTTTAGACATTCAACCTTTCTCAGTTCACATAAAATTTTGATAAGCACTAGTTAAATACACACCAAAAGAACTTTATGCTCAGTGTTCAACTTTCATGCTTTTATTTTTCCTAACGGTGTCATTTTCACATAATTTTGACTAATTTTGTCACTGACTTTGTTACCAATGCACAGAAGAAACCTTAAGAAGGAAGCAAGATGTCCCTGGGACCAGGCTGGACAGGGTACCAGTGGTTTCTGGCCCTCATGATGTTGATAACAGGATCTATCAACACTCTCACCACCAAGTAAGTGTCTATGTAGTCTCTACCAGACTCCTTGAGTTGCTGGAAACAGTAGAAATTGACTTAACATGCTGAATGATTTGCCAGAGAAGTTATATGGAGCCTGCAAGGGGGGGTCCTGACAACGCTCCACGCTGAATTCGGAAACCTCTCGATTACGCTTTACGATAAATTCCAAGTGGCTACAGCGCATTACGTAGAATTAAAATGGCGAGTACGCTCTACGCAAAATGCGAAGAGCGGCCCGTCTACGCTCTACATGGAATTAAAATGGCCGATTACTAGTATGCTCTACGGAAAAGTGCAGGCCCCCTTATATTAGCTGGCCAAGGGGTTACACATTTACAAAGTGTAATCCAGTACCTGGCCTGCTAACTAGAACTAAGATCCGTGGTTCAATTCCTGAGCTTCAATTTATTGTTGTTGTTGTTTTTTTGTTTTGTGGAACAGATTTGCAGATCTTCAGAAGGCCCCTGGGAAACCTGGGACACCAGTCCATGACTTTAATCATCCCTTTCTACAGGTCAGACTCATTTACAATCTTAATTTTCAAGTACATCTAAATATCATTTGCCAAATACATTTGTTTAAAATCAATTGCCCCAAAACCTGGCGTTTCTTAGTACAATATTAGCTTGGACATGTAAATAGTATACATATAGATGATTGGTTATTGTGACAAATACTTTCCAATATAATTGAATAGGCCAAGTTTTTAGAAAGCAAATGAATCTTCAGATATCTTGGTGAGCAATCGTCTTAGTTGCATAACTAACTGCATTATGTAATATTCCTCCAGGCTTCTGGCATGTTTATTGGCGAGTTTTCCTGTCTGGTGGTGTTCAAAATCTGGGTCTGGTACCACCGCTGTAAAAAACAACCTGTGGATGTCGGGAACCAGAACTTCAACCCACTGGTCTTCCTGGCTCCTGCACTGTGTGACATGACAGGTGGGGAAATGACATGCACTAGTAGTGCTAGTATAGTATAGTCCTTGTTTAAAACCAAAACCAAATTAACATCAAAATCTTGGAGTTGTTTTAAGCTATGAAGATTAGGTGCAAGTCCATAAATTTTACAGTTCCATTGCAATTTTTCAAGGTCTAAGAATACATAAAGTTTCAAACAGGCAACATCTTTTTACAATGTAGTAAATATGAAATATACACACATGTAGATACATATGAAATAGTGTAACAATCACCAGGGCTATGGATACTAGTAGTGTAATTTTGATCTTTGTGGATTCTTGTTAGAGATGGCACATCACAATGTTTCAAGTTTGTGTTTTATTCTGTGCGATTTCAAATGAAAAACAAAACCTCCAAAGAACTTCTTCAAAGACATTAGCCATATTGCCATCTTATTGTCCTATGCTATATGGAATGCACGTCACGAGCCAAATTCACAGACACCTTATTGTAACTACTTACGTCATCTCACACTAGATAGTAAATTCTTGTGACAATTTTAATGAATACAGTGCATTATTTACTGTGCAATATTGTATGTCCTGGTGTATTGTATAATGTTATATGTCTAATGTCTCCCTGCATGTTCGGTCAGTTATAGCCGACGTGACCTGGGCTCAATGTTTCTTTCTTTTATTTGTGAATAAAGAATGATTTTACACTGTCATACATCAAATCTGGTTTTTCAATGATGTGTAATGAGATGTTAGGAAACTTGATAATTCATTTTTTTGATTATAATTATCTCATCATCTTAACAGGCACTTCTCTGATGTACATTGGACTGAACTTGACGTATGCCTCAAGTTTCCAAATGCTGCGTGGAGCTGTCATCATCTTCACTGGACTTTTGTCTGTCGCATTCCTTGGGAGGAAACTTAAGATGCATCACTGGGTTGGGATCTTCTTCGTTCTGATTGGTCTGATCCTTGTGGGCGTGTCAGACTTCATCTTCAAGAGCCCTGACTCTAATGGGTTGGGATCAAATGGGGTCATCACAGGTCAGTTCTCATTATAAATGAGTAGAGTAATGGAGTAGTAGTTTGGAACTCTTTCACTGGACAGAATCTTTTGGATCCCATGAGAATGTGTTGTGTTACAGCTGCACTATATGTCATATTTATTATGTAAAATATGTTTTACAGAAATACGGATACCAAGTGACCTGTCACTCCTAGCCTTTGCACATATAACTACAAGCATTTTGCTAGTTTTTGTTTTAGGTGTAATGCTGCTTCAGGGAGGTTACTGATAAAGCATTGCACATCATCATTTCATGTTTTTGAAAACTTCCTTCCAAAATCTTTTTCATGTGCCTATGTAGCATGTACATAGCACTATTATTACGTGTAGTACATATAGACCATGATGCATGTTTTTGATGATATTTCCAGGTGACTTGTTGATCCTGATGGCCCAGGTGATTGCTGCTATCCAGATGGTGGTGGAGGAAAAGTTTGTGTCTGGACTAAACATCCCACCCATGCAGGGGGTAGGCTGGGAAGGTAAGGATGTATGACAGTGTGTACATGTAGGGTGGGTTAAATACATTGGGTAGGGTGGGAAGGTAAAGTCCCATGTTCAAGTAAGGTGGGTTAAACATGAGGGGGAATATAAGCACCCAACCATGTACATTGTAGGTCCCATATACATATGTAGGGTGGGTTAAACATGCACTGATAGGGTGGGAAGGTAAGGTCCCATGTGCAAGTAGGGTGGGTTAAACATACATGGGGTAGGGAGCACGTCAGCAGAACGTACTGCGCCTGCGCAGAACCCTGGATTTTCGCGTTTTTAGTTGGATTTTTGGTCAACGTTGCATCAGAATTTTCACTGTTGCAGAGGATATCTTTTCTGACACAACATTTGGAAACTACTGTCGAAATGCTAACCTTATATGAGCGAATACAACCTTATATGAGACATTCTGCTGAAGTGCTGTGCACAATACATTACGGGTTTCGTGCAGGTGCAGTACGTTCTGCTGACATGCTGGGGTAGGGTGGGAAGGTAGATTCCCATGTGCATGTACAAGATCACATCCATATGTGTCTGGTGGGCTTGGTTTTGGAATTGACTGTCGACTGTCATCATGAGCCATGTTGTTGTTCAGTAATACCTAACACCTGCCATCTCTCCTCCACAGGCCTGTTTGGTTTCACCGTCCTGACGACTCTACTCTTCCCGTTCTACTTCATGAAAGTCGGCCCTCCCTTCGGAGCCAATCCTCGCGGCGTGTTCGAAGACGCGTTGGACGGCCTGTGGCAGATAAGCAACAACGTCAACATCGCCCTCGGCGTGTTCGGAACCATCATCAGTATTGCCTTCTTCAACTTTGCCGGGCTCAGCGTTACCAAGGAGATGAGCGCCACAACGAGGATGGTACTGGACAGTGTCCGGACTCTGGTTATCTGGGTGTTTAGTCTGGCTGTAGGGTGGGAAGACTTCCAGTACCTTCAGCTGATTGGTTTTCTCATCCTCCTATCAGGAACGGCGGTGTATAACGATATGTTGTTTGTCCCACTCCTGCGTCGTTTTGGGATCATAGGGAGCGTTCCACTGGCAAGTCCAGATGAAAGAAAGCCCTTGATTCAAGATGATGCTTAACAATTCTGGCACAATTCTTAAGTCAAAAAATTTATGATCTATTGGCAAATTGCCCCCAACACTGGTGCAATAACATGACATTTTATATAATATGTTGTTCATGTATTGACAATGAATCATACAACTGATTTCTGACTTCCTTTCTAAAACACCTAAATATTCACTCTTGGTTCTTGCCTAAAATGTTCATGTTAGTTCTTGAAAACATTTTACTTGCTTGTGAAATCCTACAGGTACTAGTATTTCCCTGTAATCAGGGATATCTTAGATTATTCCATGGTGTTTTAGATAATTTTATTTCTGTACCACTGTGATGTTCCAAATGACTGTTGCTAATAGCTCTGCAATGTTTTTGTTAATTGCAGATAGTCATGGTTTTAAGTGCTGTGGTAAAAGAAATTGCTGTTTTTAAGGTGGAATCTCAATGTCAACTGTTCTGTGAAATCTTATGACTGCCATTTAATTACCCGGTATGTGTATTCAATAAGAGGACAATTTTTTGTAAGACCACAAATGTTATTTTGGATACCGGTACTTGAACATAAGGAGACAAAGAATTAACGTAAAACCAAGCCCAAGAGGAAAATGTTGATCTTACTACTGCCAGTTTTGAAACTGTTCATATCATGACATGTAAACTCTCTTTACATGCTCTGTTTTTGTAATGCTTTTCCAAGAGAATAGATAGACTGGTGTGGTTTAATCTAAGCTCAGGGTCTCAACATTTACGGGTTTTCATAGACACATCAACAAGACCACAATACAGAATGTGGTATGACCAGTGAAATCCTGTAGTAAACTCTGTATACAAAAGTGTGTATACACAGCACATCATACTGCCATGGACAATGTTACTTTGTACACATTCACATGTTTATTGTTCCTATGTGTCATTTGAAAACTTAAGGCAATATTTTGACAATACCTGCATGTCCAAACCATTTACCTCGGTCAATGTACCAATACTAGTATTTCATACCAATATCTGTAACCAGATCAGGGTTGACTTATATTTTGAATCCAGAGCTGTAAGTACAAACTAGTAGGGTGCCACTTACATTTCCCTTTGGTTCTTGACAAAAACATATAAATCATGTTGTTGTGGCCTAATCTAATGAAAAGATACTGCTACAAATGAACAAAGCTATATTGGAATCATATCAGAGCTATTTTGATACCTCAGACTTTAGTATTTTTACACATGAAATAAATTTTAATCTATTATTAACATTTGTGTTGATAAAAAGAATTTTATGATCTGTGATTTATTATTTCTTTCAAATCTGTGACACCAACAGATTAATGATTTCGATAATAGATAGATAGCCTTGTTCTCCTCTTGGCGTTTTGAGTAAATAAATCAATTTTATGTTCAAAGATGTGTCTTAGGTTTTTCACATTGTTAACTTTGTTGATAATACTTTAAACTAAATTCAGCGCGTGTCTTTTATTCTCAATGACATATTGCTTCATAAAAACATAATGCTATGAATATGGCTTTCGTTATTACAATGGAGACCAATGAATCCGCATCAAGGTTGCAGAAGAAATTGAATCCTGCTTGCATACAGTCGAAAAATAAAGCGCACACCCATGGATAAAAGTATCATTACAGGAAAACAAGTTAGACAAGTCAAGACAATGATGGTGCAAATTAGAATCGACAATGCGTGGAGAAGCATACCTGGGGGATTTGTTCGCTTCTTACTGAATATCTTTGTGTATTTTGGTCCCAACAATCTCTAAAACCAATGGAAATACGTTTTTCTTTTCATTACTGCACATTCACTCCAATGGTCATTAATGTAGACTTCTGTCAAACCTACAGGTGGTTTAAATC